GAGCCAGAGCCTGCAGGCAAGCTCAGGACCTTGCTCTGCATCTGTGTGTCCACTCATTTGCCCTTACCCCCGCTGTAAGCTGCTCTGTGTTTACACTAGATGTCCCTCACCTATTAAGAATCCCCGGTTCCCTCCACCAGCCCTCTGTTTAGGATTATAGTATAAGAAATTTAAGCTATGGTGTCAAGTTACAGGCAGACTTTAATAGGAATAAAAATTAAGTCATACATTCTTGAGAATGAGGGAAATGGATGCTCCCCCTTGAACAATGAGGAGGGGCTTAGATATATAATCAGCTGTTTCTCTATGTTACATCTGACTGAGGAAAATGCAGTACCCTTCTTGCCAGTCAGTAAACTACCAATTTGAAGTGTCCAAAAGTGTGTGCATTAAACTCTAAGAGACTTAAATCTGAAACTCTACAATTCCTTGGCAAGTTGGGGTGGCTCTCTTACAAGGCAGGGGGTATGGAGAGATTACAGAGTGGTGATATTTACATCCCCCACAGTAGCTTGCATTAAGCAGGTACAGTAATTGATGATAAATACTAAGCTGAATTTTAGGACATGGAAAACCACTGTATAATCAACAAATGCATACACTTACGACCATTTTCTGGGAATCTTACCAAGGAAGCAGTGCAACATTGTGAAAAGAGCCCTGGCTGAGATTCAGGAAGGCAATACTGTGTTTCTCGTGCTAGCTCTGTCATGAAGGAGCTTAGGGCCCTGGACAACTCTTTCAGACCACTGTAAGCCCCGCCTTCATTGTAAGATATGGTGAAGTTTCATTGTTAAGAGTTGTCAGAAGAAAGGCTGAAGTTAACTATCATGAAAACTATTTGAAAAAATGCCTGAAGGAGAAAACGCCTGAGGAAGGCACAATACTGGAGCCTGACGCACCACATACCATCTCTTACTAAGTCCAGCACTGCCAATTTCTCCCGCAGTGTTGGACAGAATTGCTGTTGAATCAACTGAACACCAGATGAAGTGGTTGGCTTGCATTCAGGAGCCATGTTGTAACAAAAAAATGTACCTTCTCTTTAAACACTGAAACCACATTCTGTGAGGTGAGATGCTTCCCGGGAAGCATGTGGTTCTGACGGAGGTAACAGTGCCGCATGTCTGCCTCTATCATCCCCCACTGCTGTTTCTGCACCTGCTAAGAGAAGAAAGTGATACCTCCTCATCCCCACCTACCTCAAAAGCATTCTGTGATACAGATACATTCTGTGATGTGTTTTATGTGTTACAGAAAACTTTACAAAGTCCAAGTCAGTGGGAAATATCTCCAAAATCAATTTGTCATGTCAACACTAAGTTTTATGCAGCCTACATTTACAATAATGCAGCATCACGTGTGATGGGATCCCAGGGCTGCGAGTGTTCTTCTGCCCAAAGCAGAGCTCCAGCTACCAAAAGGAAAGAGCAGCACCGCGACAGGGGGCTCTTTTCAATAAGGTGACCTATTCTGTGTTACACTAAGGTATTTTTCCTTCAGTGACTTAATACCTGCTTCTTTAGAACTTCCACTGTCTTTTTTTCCCACTGTCTTAGTAATATATAAAATAAGTATTCTTGCCTGTGACAGCACTTCAGATATTCAAGCACAGCAATCGAATCTCCTCTCCTCATTGGAGATGGGTACTGAAGCTCTCATCCCAGACACCTGCATCCACATAGACAAAATTTACCAGTGTCCCCATTGCAGGGTGGGCAGGAGACTGAGGCCTGCCTATGCATGAGGTTCCTTGAGTGGGAAGAAACCTCATTTCTGGTTTAGAATAATAGCTGCAAATCCAGAGTAATTGTGTCATCTGGCTACAGGCTGAAGATCTCTTTCTTAAGTGAAAATTTCAAATGTCTACATTTTACTGATACAGAACATGGACCAGAAAAAGAAGAAAATAGAAAAAAATCACCATCTTAATTCACAAAGAGGAATCCAATTTCTAAAGTCCCCCATCCTTTTAATATTTGAAATGGTGCCAGGGCTTGTGTTTGGGATCCTGCATGCATGCCATCTCTGGAATTCATTTTTCAAGGATCCAAACTGAACAGAATTGCGATATGGGGATTTACTTATGTCTTCTAATGACCAGAAATAATCAAGAATGTCAGTTATTTCTCAAGAACAGTATGACCTGGTGAACCCATTAAGTTTAACATGTGTAAGCATAAGAGCAGACTGAGGTCATCTCCCTAATAGCTCTAACAGCTCCTGAACAAATGAAATCCCCTAAATTTTCCTAATCCCATGATTCTTAAAAGACTAAAGGCTGAGTAATTCTACCAGTGATATAATTCTTTCTGTTAACTATCCTGATCACTTTCTGGGCCTCGTAATGACTAGGATGTACAGCACATATAGTCTGGGATATATACTGTGAAATCTATTCATGGTTTTTGCTAAAAGTTGGCAAGTTTAAAAATATAGTGTAGGAAAATTACTCATAGTTGTGGAGGAAGATGGGAGAAAAGTGCCAAATGAGCTTTCAATGAGGAGTTGTCAGTGTGAGCATATGTAAAAAGAACTTTTAGGAAGAGGCATTATGATAAACAAAAATGATCAAGCTAAGTTCTCAAGAAAACTTATAGGTACAAGATCATGGTGACAACATGTATGATGAACAGCTTATTCATGAAAAGCCCCTTCCACTGTTAATGGACCAGCACACTTGCTTCCCAGAAACACTTCAACGAGACAAAACATACCAACACATTAGTCAGAAATATAGCTTTATTATTATTATAGTTCATAATCTAAAAACTTTTTTTAAATTCTGGGAATAGAATATCCCAACTTCCATACAACTGATCAACCCTGCACAATCCTGGAAAACAGTGTCTGAGTAATCTGAATTTTGCAGTTAACAATCTGTAACCTAGTTTGGGAAAAAAGAATGAAAGGAGGGTTGAAATAAAGGTTTCTTCCTTACAAGACAAATAATAAAATAAGATCCATTCTTCAGTTTAAACTTGAATTTGTTTTCCCAGAAACTTTGGTGATTTCTTCAAAAAATCAACCCTAAGGTTGACTGCCCATTAGGACAAAGAAAATATTTAAAAATAAGACCCAAGTGGGGCATGGCACATGGTTCAGACCATGGCATGTAGATGGGATATCCCTCGAAGTGAGTGGGCTCCCGTGTTTCAAAAGCAAAGTTGTCTCTAAGGAAGCACAACATACATAATGCATCTCCTTGTATGAAGGTCAGAACTTAGTTAGAACTTAAAAAAAAATTTAATATAATAAACTTTAAAATCATTTGTCTTGTGTAATGTCCATAGAGTAGATATGACATTACGGTGCTTTCTGAAGATCACTGGGTAGGTACCACTGTCAAAGAGAGCTGTCATGCCCTCTAGGCATATTAAATGAAAACTGAAAATGTAAGTTACATTAAATAAAATGGGAAAAAAAGTTGGCTTACACTACCTTTAAAACCAAATTGTCACTGCACACACATATTACAGAACAAAGAGCATGCAATGCAATAACAAGTCAATTTTTTAGTCTGTATAAGGCTAAAGTGCAATCATGGCATAAACACCAATAATAAACAACCATGGAGGAGGTTAATTCTCAAAATAAGTGATTATGGTAACTTTACAGTTTTTAGCCTAAACAGTGATATTCACAGCAACGTTTTTTCGCACTTGAAAAGCTGCGTATACACCACATGAACAGCCCACCCCCAAGAGCCAAAAGTCAAAGTGAAGATTCAAAAATCAACATTTTCACTGTAAGTTCAAAATGTCTGTATAATATAAGTTACACTTTTCAATTTACTGGCATATTAAACAATTATTTTGTTACCTATTTTTAATGTACTGCTAATCTGCTGCTTATTGCAATAACAATATAATTCTACTAATGTTAATTAGGTTACACTTTTAATTTTTAAAGTAAGAGAATTCAATTTACACGAACATACATAGTTTAAAAACCACCCACCACAAATACACACCTTTTCCATGAGTATTTAAAAATAAATTATTAATATACCTGACATATATATTTTATATGTGTTATATATATACACATATATGTTTATATTTGTGAACATAATTATTCTTGTTGCCAGAAGAATGTCAGTACTTATAAACACTGCAGGAGACCCAATGATATTGCTAAATTAAAAAAAAACATACAGTAACATGGAAATTCATTCTTGAAGAAAACTGTCAAGCAGGAGGTTTGTAACAGATGGTTCTTTATGGAAACAAAGGCCATTTTAGGGAGGCAGGGACAGGAGAATGATACCAGATTCTGGATTCCACGTGCATTGTTTATTTCAGAAATTACTTTAGAAGGCCATGTACAACAAACACTTCAGATACTTGGTTGAAAGGTAAAGAACATATATTTTAGACCTAAAAGGGCAGAGAAGCAGCAGGTGGGAAAGTTAGGCCAGCAAGGAGAAAGTCCTGCCGACAGCGAACGGAAGCTGCCAACACTCGTCGGGAAGCAGGTCTTAGGAAAGTGCTGAGTAACATCTGCAGTGCCTCCAGGATGGTTCACAGTGCACTCAGTGTGCGATCTGGTGGCATCCAACCATTCAGACCCTGTACTGGTGATGGGTGCTGACCAAAAGGTTTTTACTGTCCTCCCCAACCACAGCAGTAGAAGCAGCTATCAAGACAAAGGCTGGCAGCACCGTCTTAGGGTGAGACCAGAGATGCGCCAAAATCAGAATAAATATGCATCCAGGGAAACAAAAAACCTGAATCAAACAAACTGGAAAACAGTCTGTTGAAATGAGAACAGAAGTCTGACTGAACAAGTCCCTGAAGCAACCCAAACACTGAAATTCTGATTAACTAGAACATACAGGGAACAGGAAGCCTTATTTTGGAAGCTCCCAAATTAATTGAAAGGAAGGTTAAAAACAATCAGAAATATTTTTATTCCACTGCCCTTAACAGAACTTTACATTCCTATTCCTTGTCTCACAATTCAGAGAGCAGTAGGCACAGATGAGTTTTTTTTTTTTTCCCCAGTGCTTGACATCTTGTGTGGCTTTGGGGCTGAGAATTAATGACCACCACAAAGAACTCAAGATGTGGAAACTACTGGAGACTAGGCTAATTATTTTAGAAGTTGGAGCTTCGTTTTACTAAAAGTTCGAGGTAAGACTGCTTCCATTTTTAAAAATTCTTTCTTATTTTAATTTACAGGGGCTTGTAAAAAAAAATTCTGGTTCACCGAGATTCCGTTTTGTTAATTTCTGTTTAACCCAGGTGCTTATATGGATATAAAATGAATGTGTTACGCCCTTCACTTTCCCAATGTGTCTTACAACAGGATGTGTTTAAAAGGAAGTTAATGTTGGCCCCAGAACAACATCCCCAAAGCTCAGTGATGGTGGTCCAGAGCCACCTACCATTTTAGATGATGTTCACAATCGCTGTTGGCTTTTTTTTGGCCATTTTGGGCCTGATGTTGCCTTTCCGGCTAAACCCTAGAGGTTCCCCTTTCTTTGATGGTCTGCAGAATTCTCTTGGGGACTCAGCCTGTTCATGCATGAACTTAGCAGGCTGCATGCTGGCTCTGTCATCCTTGGCCTTTTTCAGGTAGCTCCTTCCTTTTGGATGGAAATGGGTCTTGAGATCAGGATGGTTACACACAGAATGTGGGTGCCCTCGGCTTCTATAGATGGTCAGGCAGGAGGAAGATGAGCAGAAAGAAAGATTTCTTTAAATCCTTAGAAGAATACAAACTACTCACAGCAGGATCGCTTCTGCATGCTAAGGTAACAGTAATGCTGCCAGTAAAACAAATAATATAAATAGGCTTTTTTGTTCCAAATATTTCTATGGCTTTCATGAAGTGATCTCACAATACTGAATTCCCAAGGAGTTATTACTAGTCCTATTTACCAGTGATAAAAACTGAAGCACAGAAAACTTAAATGACTATCCAGGATAATAGATACAGTGGTCTTGGAGAAGATGGACCAGAACCCATAACTCTGGACTCTCTAAGTGACTACTGGGGGACTGAGACAAATCTGTGGTAGAGCTATTATAAAGTATATGATTCATAGTATAAATTTACATATATACACACACACACACACACACATATAGGTAGAGTGGTACACACACTGCATTAAGAGTACTACACAGCTATTATGACTACACTATACCACAATAAGAGAAAGTGACACTATGCAATACTAGAGAAAGACTCCTGTAGTACTATCCTACTGCCATACACTCATAGACTGTGAGCATAATTAAAAGTCACACACACATTTTAGGAAGCTAGGTACACAAGCAGGTAAATTTTCACCTGAAACTCCCAAATCCATTTAGATTATAGATATCATCTAAAGTGCAACTGGAAAATGTATTATGCAAACATTATCAAATGGCTTCAGTATAAAAAACATATACATACAGGCATTTGGGTTTCCTATTTGAGGAGACATCTGTAAGCTGAAGGAAAACAAATAAGACAAAGCATTACTTCACTTAAAGGCTGGATTTGGTTTTTAAAATCCTCCTTACTTATATTTTTAGGAAACTGTATTCCCATTAAAGAAGCTGGTAACTGTTATCAGGGGCACTGCCCACAGCACCACCCACCACAGCAGTGAACAAGAACATCTCGTGCTCAGCCTCTGCTTACTCGGGAGGCCTCTGTGGCTCCCTGTTCTGAGATTTCCAAGAAGCCAACATCAATAGATCTCAAAAATGTCAAGAAGTCAGATAGCCTCCCAAGAGAGCAACATTTGAACAAACATGTTTTTAAAAACTGGAATGACATTATTCCTTGATTGATTCAGGCTGTATCTGCAGCTAATTTACTACAGCTACGTCTGGTCATTGTGTATCAATGAAGGGGAAAATTGGCATAAAATGTTTATTGCATAAAATACATCATTTCTAAGATGGAAGCATATGAAGACCAACTCCACAACTGGCCTGAGGCCATCTATCACTGAGATTATTTTCCACTCCCAATAAACAATCTGTATGCACTTTTGTGGCTGGGCTCAGAATATCATTTGCAGAATAAATTGATAATTATCATTTTGTGATCCAGATGTCACCAACCACTTTACAGGCAAGCCCAGTGTATTCCCAAACTTCAGTTCCCAACCTCCCTCATGCAGCCTTCACTGAAAGAAGTGGTGTCACATCGGCAGACAGACTGACAGAAGAAGAAGACGACTAAGAGGATGTGGAGAAAGGGCCACCTTGGTGTTGGGGCCCAGCGTGGCCAAGACATGTGTCCCTGCTATACTCAAATCATCTGAAAAACCAAGCTCGGCATGATAGGATCTTTCTCCGGTTCTTCTGTCTGCAGCTTGAGCATCAGTCAGCAGCAAATCAGAAAGAAGTTTTCTTAATCAGACCTCTGAGGGTCATGTGCCCAAGAAGGTGAGATGGGATTCCTGCCTTCCACCTTGGGACACAATCGGAAGTCAGCACTATGGCTGACCTTGTCCACGCTAGTTAGGTTTGGCATGAGACTAGTAAACGTCAAGAGAAAAAGGCACCTTCCTTACATGAAGGTCATGAGGTCATGAAATATACAAAGAAGGGGGGACAGATGGCGCTGGCAGCTTCTTGGAATCCCAAAGGCATCAGCATTTCCACCCTCTTTCCCTCAGGCCCCCGCTCCCCGGACCCTGCCCTCCATAAATAAGAGTTTCTCAGCTGGACTCCTTGAATGGATTTTAGGATCTGAATAAACTAAAAAAAACTTACAGGGTTTTTCTTCCTTTGAATACTTTCCTACTTAAAAAAATTACTATTATTCAGGCAGAACAAAACATTTTCAAGTGTACTGTATATAAGTATATAAGCATATAGTGTGATGATTTGTTGTATATGGATATATAATTCCCTTTGGGATTTTATGCAAAAGTAAGTGTGTATATGAGTGTGCATGCTTCCCTCACCAGGGAAAAGGCCAACAGTGATCTGATAGATTATAAGGCCTGGGGTGGAGGCGAGGCCATTATCACAGGCACCACAGAATTGCGTACTTTCACATGTTCTCCTCCCTATGAACACAAGAGGCCACTGTTCCCTCTGGCCTTGACAGCCTCAGGCAGATGAAAATGCTCTTCTCACTCGGCACAACTACCTACCTCCATTTTCTCCTAGTCCACCTACTTTGTCTTCTTTTTGTTTAAGGAGAGAAAGGTATGAAGATGGGAATCAAAAGAGTCCTCGGTCAAGGTTTCAGGTTGAAAAAATATAAATAACCTTGCACAGAGAGCCAATCTAAGTTCTTCTAAAACACAAATATAGTGTCTCAGGTTATTACAGGTTTGGGGAAACTGGGCACCTTGCCCTCCTCCAACTTCCCCTCCACGTATATAGCAGCACATATACCGATTGTTCTGGCCAAAACCTTGGATTCATTTTTGATTCCTCACTTTCCTTCACCTGCTAGATCCAATCCTTCAGCAAGGTCAACTGGTCTTGTCAATTCTACTCCAAGAACATACCCTATGCCCTTCACTTCTCTCCACTTCCACTCTATCCAGGCTGCCATCCCCATCCCCTCACCTGCCACAACATAATAGCCTTTTAACCCATCTCTCATTCTTGCATCCCTCCAGTCAGTTCCCCACACAGCAGCTGAGTGATTCTGCTGAAACGCAGATCACCTCCTACTTAAAACCTTCCAGTGGTCTCCTGTGTGCAGTGGAATAGATCCAAACTCCTTATGTGACCTAGAAGTCCTGGCATGATCTGGATCCTTCCCACCTCTCTGACTTATCTCCCACCACTCAAACGTGCCACGCTTGTTTCCTCCAGAGACAGCTGCATTTCCTATTCCTTTGCCTAGAATATTCCACTTCCTAATTTTCACAGAGCTGCCTCTTTGTTATTCAGGTCACAGTGCAAATGTTGCCTCCTCAGCAAGGCTTTTCCTGAAATTTTTTCACTAAAGCTAAAGTGGGCATCTCAAACCTATCATCTTACATTTTTCTTTAAAGTAGTTATCCCTATATGAAATTATCTTTGTTACATGTTTGCTTATTGTGAGCCCCTTCTCCCTGAGACCAGGGAACTCATCCATCTCGATCACAGCAGTTTCTTTAGCACCCAGTAACTGCTGCATTCCCAATAAATATGCTAAATGAATTACTGCTAGTCCTAATTTAGCAACCTACAGGAAATAAATGCAACGCTTAAAATAAGATTATCCAGGCTGTTCCATGACCTTCCATTTGAGCAGCTCTGTGAGTGATTTTGGCAGATGGGATATTAGGTCACTTTGTGTCTAATTTGACAGCATGTTTCAGAGCATGCAGACAAAATATCTGAGTAAGCACGTTACATTTTTAGAAATCAGCCAGGTGAAAAAGAACATAAATGCTCAAGGGGATTAAGAGAAAGATACAGATGCCGAAAACTTATTTCAGAAAAGGCACTAAATGTGAGGAGGAAGGATATTTTTCTAGAGCACCAAGGAATCTTAAAGCTAGGAAGACATCTTTGAAAGAAACAACTTACATGTCAATCTCTGGAGGTGGTAATGCGAAAGACGGAAGAGGAGAGAGGGAAGGAACTGAGGGTGGGGAAAGAAGGGAAATGAAGAAGCTGCACGGTTTCTCTAGAGCAGCCTTGGTGGAGATGGGGAGAACCAGCCAGGCTGGGGACAGTACTCCCCAGTGTTCTGGGAGGGGAGCTGAGCTGAGGTTGGGGGAGTCTGTGGGAAACTTGTGCTCCATCTGGGGGGCGGTGTGCACCCCGCAAGGAGCTCTCCTGGGCAGGGCTGAGGCTCCAGAGGCCTGGGCTCCTCCGTGCTCTGCACCTTCACTAAGCTGCGCCAAGTAGGTGACTAAAGGTACCGTTCAAAACTTTTCCTGCTACAAGCATCCAATTCTTCTGTGTATCCACAGCCACAGATACCCAGAGAGGCCAGACTGAGCACTTTTTACATCAAAGACATGGTGAATATATTGTATCATGATGAAACAGACTAAAAAGAAGAAAAGATCTTAAGGTCTGTAGACTGTCTCATAATGTGGTATATTATGGTCCAAAGTAGACTTTAGAGGACTATACATGAAAACAGGGGAAACCACGTCTGCCCATTCCTTTCAGAAATTAATCATCTCATTCTTGGTCTTTTCAGAGTGATGTGTCTTCCCTCCAAAAAGTCAGTTCACCTCACTACAGCCTGATCCTGCCCTACTCACAGACAGCTCTCACTTCTAAATTCCCGGCTGCAATCTCAACTGCACTTTATTTGATCTGAATTACTCATTTCTTCCCTATGTAGATCAAATCTGAAGAAGCCAGATGATGTCATGTTTGGGACAAAGAGAACATAAACATAAATATTTATTAATTAAATGTCCTACCATATTCATATGTATATGTATACATATGTGTATATGTACAAGTACTTATGTGTGTGTGCATATATGTTGTGTGTACATACACACACACATAATTTTATATCTACATATCTGACTAGAAGAACTGAGATGCTGTTCAACCTTTGATTACATGATACAGCAGGATGAGAAGTAATGACTGGCTGTGTCTTTTAAAAGTTGTTCGGTTTCCAAGCTGGAAAAGTAAACTGAGCAGAGGAAGTGAGCACAGAAATATAAAGGCAAGAACTAATGGGCTTCCTTTATTTCTCCTTCCTTCCATTGTTTTCTCTTCCTTTAAGACCTTCTTAACTTTGTGTAGTAAAACTTATACATTTCTTAGCTCTGGGTTACTTATAAGTCTAAATACTTAAACTATTATGGGACATTTTAATTTTAGAATCCTAACCACCAAAGTCAGAAGATAATCAGAGAGTTTAAGAGGCCACAAGCCCTTAGAGAGCATGCAGTCCAACCACTTCATTTTATAGAAGAATGAGAGGCCCAGAAAGACAGACGGTCTCACCTGGTCAGAAGTAGGGTGGGAATGATCCAGAAGCCAGGCCTTCTCACCTCACCTCTGGGCTCACAGCACAACCCCGTCCTGAGAGATGGTAGGATGGAGGAAGAAGGCAGGAAAGGGCTGAGAGTGTCCCTCCAGCCAGTTAGTTATGACTGGACCCAGTTTCCCAAGGAGGTGACAGAGGAATTAAGGAGGCGAATAAAGGCTGCTTCTCAGGAGACCACTGATACCCGCCCAGAAAATAATCAATATGTCAGGTGCTGAAACTGCTCTGATGACAGTTACTACTGAAACCTAATAGATGGAAGAAATCTACTTCCTTCTCGTCTACTTTGTTCCTGATGGAAAGTTCTGGAGCTTGCATAACTGTACAGCTCTAAGGCTGAGTGTGCATTACTACAGTTAGCACTGTGTAAAGTTCCCTCTTTTCTTTCCTTCCTTGTCTCTGTACCTTCCTATTGTCTGTCTCCCTCTGGTCTCCCTTCTTTTATGCACCTGCACTTCATTTCATTCCTAGATTCTTTAATCATGTTTCCTTTTAATCTTGGCTTTCCTATTATTCAACCTAAACTTTTCAGTCAACCAATAGCAACCTTACTAACCTCTTAGTTAGCATAAATGTTTCCTATTTTTCTTTTCCTTATATATGTAGTCCATTTTGGAGTAACTAAAAGAATCATTTTTAAATCTTTTGAGAAGTCAGCATAAATAAAGTTCAATTGATAATGAAAATGTTATAAATAAACCACTTTAGGGTTCTAAAAATCCATCCTTTGGCTTTGATTAATACAATTAAGAAAGCTGTATAGAGGGCAAATATGATCCCCCCCACCACCTACAGCATGGTTATTTGCAAGCCTTCCCCCACCCCTACCCTCTAAAGAGACCAGGGAATCTTGATCAAGCCACTTAGGAGAGTCTGGACATTTATCCATATCCAGGGTTCTCATCTGGGCTCTGGAGGTTCCTTAAGTCTCTGAAAGTATAGGTAAAATTGTATGCAGAAATCTATT